AAAGCCTATGAACCTTAAAAAATTTTGATTTAGAAAATTTAAAATACTGTCTATATTAATCTAAATTAGGTAGTAAAACTATCATCTGTGATTAGACTTAGATAAAAGAGTACTTAGGAAAATTAGGTTGGTATTTTTGTTACTGTATAAAATAAAATGATGCCTCAACTTTGAAAAGTTTGAAAATGGCTCAGTTGGTTAAGCATCTGACTCTTGGTTTCAGCTCAGGTCATGATCTCATGGTTCTGAGATCAAGCCCTGCGTGGAGTCCGCCTGGGATTCTTTCCCTCTTCCTCTCCGTCCCCCTTTGCCCCTCCCTGTGTGTGTGTGCACTCTCCCCCCCCAGATAAATGAATAAATAAAATCTTAAAAAAAATGAAATCTTTGAAAATGGTTAAATGTAAAGACATGGTTTAAACTGTGTTTAAAGTAAATCATTGTTTCACTTTTATTCTTCATTATGTGGTTTATTTTTTTTTTCCTAAATGTTCTTCTAAATCATGAGATTATTTAATTCAGTGGATTTCCTGATTTAGACTACATAGGAAAATTATAGAGCAATATATGGGTCTAAGGTCCTTAAAATTTTTTTCGAATTCTGAATGTGATATGTGAATAACATTCTAATATACGTTCTTATAGGAACAGTGTAAGTAAAAATGCATTTTTAAATAATCATAAAATAATTAGAATGTTTATTTTTATCCCACTGATTTTAGTATACTTATCAAGATATAAAAATAGAAACAATTCTGTCAAGGATGTTTTCTCTTTTAAACTTGTAATTTCAACTGTGTTGTTTTTGTTTTACCAGTATCTGAAGGATTCTGATTCCTAAACTTTTGGCATCCAATACAGTCTGTTGCCTCAGCTCTATTGTGAGATAGACCTTACTTACTAGATTCTGCTAGAGCTTATATTAACCAGGATAGAATGTCAGAAGGAACAAGTATCACTGTAGTGATACGAACAATTGTTGGCAAATTCAGGGAAAAGGAGAACCCACTTAGGTGAAGATATTCTGGAGTACTTGGCACTTTAGTTTACCAGTTTTATCTTAAGTGTTGAATGTTGACTATACTAGACAAAATTCTTTCAAATTAGTGGGTTTTTTTGCTTTTAGGATTGTAGAACTCTTGGACATTATTTGCTATAGCCTAGAAGTATCCTTCCTTCTGACAGTTTTGGAAGTGATAAAATAGACCCAGATTACGCTTGTCATTAATAATAACTTAAGAAGTAACCTAATGAGTTGCCTTTTGCAATTGTGATGTTTTGGCCAATGCAGTTTAAAAATCACTATCTTATACTATAATGCTTATTATTTATATTTAACTACATTCTCTATGGAAGTTTTTTTAAATCATAAAGTAATATAGGTACTTTGAAAATAAATGACTCCAGATTTATTAATTGCTATGGTGGTTACAACCCCATTGTGAGAGACTGCTTCCAAATCACATGTGTAGTAAATATTTTTATAGAAATATGGTCATAAATAGTCCCAGGAAATCCCTCTTGAATATGCTATATTTACATTTCAATTTTATGTTATCGGTTTGTTACTTTAAAATTGAATATAATTAGAATAAATAGCATGCTAATGCCTTCATTTTACATTTTGAGTCAAAGCTTTCTAAATTAAACCTTTACCTCCAAAATAGCATCTTGAGTAAACACATGCAGTTTACCACATTTGAATGTTTTCTTGAGATCATATGTGTTTGATTTTTTCCTTTTAAAATTAAGCGTGTTATATAAATACAACTAGATGTGTAGCAATCTTTTCCTTGTACAAGCATCCCTCGTTTAATAGAATTCTGAAGAAGAGCACTTCATGAATTAAATAACAAATTGTCTTAAATTTTTCCTTTTCCCCATGGAACTTGAGGATCTTAGCATTGCATATATATTATCAGATGGAGTGTCAAAGTCCTCTTACTGTGTATGTTATAGTTAAGCTAAAATGAATGAATGAGAACACTTTTTTAAATGTACTAACAGCTATTAGTGAGATCCTAGTCCCTAGTAAAAACCTTTATATTGGGAATGGAATAGTCACAAAGGACGAGTCTTCTCATTTGCCTATCATCGTCAGGATATTTGGTGCTAAACTGTTCATCAGCTGTGAGTCCTAGCTAATTCAAGCTGAGTCTCCTTAGCTAAATGAGGATTGAACATTTTAATCTCTGGCTTTATGAGCTGCCATTTCCTCACAGCCAGGGATATCCTTAACAAACTATAGGGATATAATTGGGGCAAAATGTTAGGAAATGGAGCAGTAAGTTATAGTTATAATGGAGAAAGTACAAATAAGTTAAATTATTGACCATGGTTTCAAAATTAGAAATGTTTAATGCAGGGGCGCCTGGGTGGCTCAGTTGGTTGAACACGGACTCTTGGTTTCAGCTCAGGTAATGATCTCCAGGTCCTGAGAGCCCCAAGTCAGGCTCCGTGCTCAGCGGGAAGTCTGCTTCTCTTCCTCTTCCTCTCCCTCCACGTGCCACCTCCCCCACCCCCTGCCCTTGCTCTCTCTCAAATAAATAAATAAATCTTAAAAAAAAAAAAAAAAAGGAATGTTTAAGGCAAACTTGAGCCACATTGCTGAAATACTGGAGATTTCTCTTGAATAACTGGAATATTTTAAGCTCTCTCTTATACTACCAAATTGTCTGATGAGGTTGTCCCTTTCAGTATACTAATACTATAAATAATTTTAGGGTTTATAATATGAATTATTTTTAGTGATTTATACTACTGAAGTCCTGAAAAAATCATTATCTTTATTTGAATATTTGACTGTATGTTTTAAAACTTGGTATGTTCTAGATGTGATTGTATTGCATGTGGAGAAGAACAGTTTTATACTGGAACATATGCTCCTCTTTATAATGAAGGTTAACAGGAAAATGACAAAAACTTGTTTTATACTAAAGTTCTGAGGGACCATTAACTCAAATATAAGTTATTAATTCTTACTTTCAAGTCCTCTTTAACTTATCCCTGGCATTGTGAATCCAGACTGTTCTCTAACTTTATGTACTGTAAATTTGACTCCCATCTGACATGCCTCCTCATCGTCCCGCAAGTACAGTTCATTTAGTATGCCTTTCTTTACTCATACTGTTTTCCGAAATGCCTTCTGTACTGTTTCTACCTATGTTTGTTTTTTTTTTAGCCCTGATCAATAAGTACTTTTTAGCTCTCCACACACCTCTAGTCCACACTAATTGTCCCCTTTCTGTAAATGTTATATTTATTGTTATAGTGTACATTTTAATATTTGATCTTATTTGCCTTATGTTGATTCTTATATGTGGCAGCATATCTGCTTCTTATGAGGCAATGTATCCTAAATCCTTGGTAATACTAAATGTCCTGATAGCAGGTACCTTGATTAACATACCTTTCATTGATAAGCTAAGTTTTTTTTTTTTATTCTTATGTTAATCCCCATACATTACATCATTAGTTCTAGATGAAGTGTTCCATGATTCATTGTTTGTGCATAACACCCAGTGCTCCATGCAGGATGTGCCCTCCTCAATACCCACCACCAGGCTAACCCATCCTCCCACCCCGCTCCCCTCTAGAACCCTCAGTTTGTTTTTCAGAGTCCATCGTCTCTCATGGTTCGTCTACCCCTCCGATTTCCCCCGCTTCATTCTTCCCCTCCCGCTACCTTCTTCTTCTTCTTCTTCTTTTTTTTTTTCTTAACATATATTGCATTATTTGTTTCAGAGGTACAGATCTGAGATTCAACAGTCTTGCACAATTCACAGCATTTACCAGAGCACATACCCTCCCCAGTGTCTATCACCCAGTCACCCCATCCCTCCCACCCCACCCCCCACTCCAACAACACTCAGTTTGTTTCCTGCGATTAAGAATTCCTCATATCAGTGAGATCATATGATACATGTCTTTCTCTGTTTGACTTATTTCACTCAACATAATATCCTCCAGTTCCTAACTTTTTAAGAGAGCAACTGCTTGAAAGTACTTATTGTGCTGTAGAAGAAATATTTAAACTAGAATGTATATTATCAACATTGAAAAAAAGTTAATGTTTACAGTAGACTTTTATGGAATAATACATTTAGTGTTCATGTGTGTCCGTATATAACATTTTATTGTATGAAAGTTCTCTTTATTCCCTTAATTTTGCCTCCCTCAAAAGAAGCTACTCATTCTAATTCATCTTAGCTTCTTTCTCTTCTTTTTTTTTTTTTTTTAAAGATTTTATTCATTTATTTGAGAGAGAATGAGATAGAGCATGAGAGGGGGGAGGGTCAGAGGGAGAAGCAGACTCCCTGCTGAGCAGGGAGCCCGATGCGGGACTCGATCCTGGGACTCCAGGATCATGACCTGAGCCAAAGGCAGTCGCTTAACCAACTGAGCCACCCAGGCACCCAGCCTCTTTCTCTTCTTAAATGATTATAATTTTTCTCTGACTACAGATTGTAGGTTTCCATAGCACCTGTCTGATTATTGAGGTCTTTTGAGCAATAATAGGCTGGCAGGCAAAGGCAGCTATATCTTTTTTCAAGTCTGGTGGGCCAGTGAGCTAGCAACCTCTGATCTCTCACTGAGATGAAGTGAAATGGAGTAATTGAGACCTTTTCTCTGGTAGGACTCTACAGGTGAATGCTGAAAATAGGTAGATCCTTCCTGAGCAAAGGGATTGAGGACAGTTCAGCCTACCAGGATATTTAGGACTTCTAAAGTAAGCATGTGTAGGACCATACATAGCATGTGGTGGGTATGACCCCTTTCTATTTGCTAAGAGAATCTATTTTTATCAGGTGGTTGGGCCCCTGAACATTCAGGTTTTACTGCCAGATTAAATTTCTACTTTTACCCCCTGCACCCTCTTCCTTTAAGTGCATCTATAATTTCTTCCAAGTTTGTTTAGTTGTTGAGTTGCTCCAGTATGTTATATGGAGGGAGAGGGAGCCAAGAATATGTGTTTAGTCTACCATCTTCCTATTATTTTTCAGATGAGTTTGCTGTTCCTGCTGTCCTTCTGGTATTTCCAGAGTTTCCAGAATTCCAAGGTTCTCTATTCAATATAATTTCCAAATACTGAGTCAGCTTTTGCTATAGTGTGATGTTATGAAAGAATTTATCTGGACTGTGCTAAAGTTCAACTTTTAGTCATATTCACTCTATGTGTTTTTCTGGAAAAGATATAGGTAGAAATATCTTTTAGAATTGCATGTTAGTTCCTATTTCATGCTTTATCAGGTTCTTATCAAAGGAATGTTCTGCACGCCTGCTGTGCCTATAACCAGTGTATTCATACTCTTCATGTGCTTTCTTAGGGTGGAATTCCTGGACCAAATGTAGCCAAGGTGAAGTTTGCCATGAATTTTCTTTGGGAGCTGACCCTCAGTAGTAACAGAAAATACCAGAGCAATTACTGCACACACATTAGTGGTCTTCTAATCTCCAACCTTGCATGTAATTGCTGCTGTCAGCTACAATTACTGTCTGCCCAGGTTTCTTCCCCTGGGGCAGTCGGGCTGTGCCTTGATACAGAGTTAGAAAATGAGAACAGAGTTTCTGAAACTTTTTGAAAATTTTGCTTATAAACCTGTCTACTTTGAAATTTTAGAACTATAAAATTACCTTCTTTTTAAAAATTTTTTATTTTGACTTGAATAAGTCTGACAATAATAAGAGAATAACAAAAGAAGATTTGAAGGTTCATTGAGTGTAATTATATTTCTGAAGAATTAATTATGAATACATTTCCTTTATGGATTAGTACCGTGTTGGCCACAGTTCAGGAAATGTAATTCTAAGCTGGTATTACTTTTTTTTTTTTAACAGTATATATACTAGCTAAATCCCTACATAATCTAGAATTATTTGATTTTGTGATTGTAGCAGTAGGACAAGATCATAATGTAGTAGTTCTAGATTAGAGATTGCCTCCTTGATTGTAGATCTGGGGAATAAACTATCCTACACGAGTGAATTTTTCAGCTAACTAAATGTATTCTTTTAAATAGCTAAGCTTTTTTATTTTCAGGTGAAGATTCTTTTCATGTGATTATAAGTTTCCTAGCTTCTTTAATCATAGTTTACTAAACACATTTTATCACTTTCCTTACCTCCCAGGGTTATCATTATGTTTACTAATCATTGTGATAATTAATGTGATGAGCCTGTAGGCTAGTTAGGATATAGATTGTTTATCCCTTCACCTACTATTTCAAAACTTTATGCTCTTTTGGGTACTTTTTTTTTTTTTATTGAGGCACCATAATTCACATACTATACAGTTCATCCATTTGAAGTGATCAATTCAGTGGTTTTTAGTATGTTCATAAAGTTGTATAGCCATTACCAGTCAGGTATGAACATGCTAAAAATCCAAATGTCCATTAATAGATGAGCAGATACACAAAATGTGGTATATCCATACAACAGAATATTATTTGGCTGTAAAAAAGAATGCAGTACTGATAATGTGCTACAATTTGGAAGAATCCTTGTTTTTCCATGCTAAACTATGCTAAATGAAAGAAGCCATTCATAAAAGACCACATATGTTATGACTCCATCTATTTGAAGTGTCCAGAATAGACAAATCTATCGAGACACAGATTAGTGGTTGCTTGGGGCTGGGGGAAATGAAGAGATTGAAACTGATAGCTAAAGAGTATGGAGTTTCTTTTTGAGGTTTTGAAATAACCCTTTTTAGCTGTCAATTTCAGTCTCCCCATTTTATTGCCAAATAATGTTCTGTTGTATGGATATACCACATTTTGTGTATCCATACATCCACTGATGGACATTCAGCCATTGGTGGACATCCATTGATGGACATTTGTGTATCCATTCATCCCTTGATGGACATTGGTGGACATTTGTTCCACCTTTTGGCTGTTACAAATGCTGCTGCTAAGAACAGTGGTGTGCAAGGTTTTGTGTGGACATATATCTTCATTTCTCAAGGGTAAATGCCTAAGAGTGGAATTGCTGGGTCAAATAGTAACTCTATTTTTAACTTTTTGAGGAACTGCCAGACTATTTTCCATGATGCATTCCCATCAACAGTGTATGAGGGTTCTGATTTCTCTTCATCTTTGCCAACACTTGTTATTTTCTGATTTTCTGATTATAGTCATCCTAGTGGGTATGAAGTTGCATCTTACTGTGGTTTTGATTTACATTTCCCTGATATGTAATGATGTTAAGCATTTTTTCTTGTGCTTATTGGCCATTTATATGTCTTTTTTAAAAATAATTTCTTGTAGGGCTGTAATCCTGTATTTAGAACTTTAGTGGTTGTCTAGACTAATTTTCTGTCTCCACGTTATTCCAACATAGACTTTTAGCTTCTGTTGGAAGACTCCTAGTGATGGAAATGCACAATTTGTGAAGTTAACCCAATTTTTTACTCTGGTTATTAGAAGCTTCTTTCTATATTAGGTCAAAATCTACTTCGCTGTTTTATTTTTTTATTTTTTATTTTTTTTCGCTGTTTTATTTTTATTATTGTTGTTTTCTCATATGTTCTATTTTTAGCCTTCTAAGCCCAAGTCCCAATTCTTCATCTACACAAGAAACCTTTATTGTTTTAAGACAGCTTTTAAGTTTCCTCTTCTTCAGGCTAGGTATCCATAATTTCTAAAATTGTTCTCCATCCTCATTGCCATCAAGCCCCACCACCATCCCAACCATTCTGGTTTGAACAAGTTTCAGTTTCTTAGCACCTCTTACAGTATGGCTTTTGTAATTGAACAGGCTATTTGAGACATAGTATGACCACTGTAGAATAGAACTTTTCTCTCATTTGAGTTCTGTACTTCTGTGATGTAGCTTAAAATTTCTTTAACTTTTTGGCAGCCACATTAAAATGTTACTTTTTTTTACACTTTCAGAGTACTGCAATCCCAAGTCTTTTTTACAGATTCTGTTATGCATTGTCTATTGTGTACTATGTTCAGTACTTTATGTGCCCTCATATTAAATTACATTTATTTGATTCATTATATTATTCCAACATTAGGATTTTTTTCGGATCATGAGTGTGTCGTCTATTTATGACATCTTTTTCATTGATCCTGTCATCAGGAAATTTGATTAGCATGCTTTTTTGTATCTTGAGTCAACTGTTGATGAAGGTGGTATATAAGATAGGGTCAAAGACTGACTTTGCCCATAGAAACTTAACTAGAGATTGATATTGATCCATTTATACATGGTTAAGACACTCATTAGTAATAAAAATAATAATTAGCTATATTTACTGAGCTCTTTCTGTGTGCCATGAATTATGCTAAATGCTTTAGATATTTTTATTTAAAAAACTTTTTAAAAAAGATTTTATTTATTTAGAGAGAGAGGGAGAGAGTGCATGTGAGCAGGGGGAGGGGCAGAGAAGAGGGAGAGAGAGAGAATCTCAAGCAGACTCCACGCTAAGCCCAGAGCCTGTCGTAGGACTTGATGCCATGACCCTGGGACCATGACCTGAACCAAAATCAAGGGTTGGATGCCCAACAAACTGAGCCACCCAGGCACCCTACTTCAGATATTTTATTTAGTTCTCAGCACAACCCTATAAAACAAACACTATTATTTGCATTTTCTGGAAGAAAAACCCCTGAAACTTAGGAAAGTTAATAATTTTTCCTGAAGTTACATAACTAATAAGTGGCAGAGTAGTATTTCAACACTATATGTCTCATTCTAAAATTAATATATAACTAAAATTTACTCTCATGTAAAAAATCCACCTTATTTGAAGCTGTGCCTTATTTTTCTTATCCATTCATATATTCAACAAATATTTATTAAGTGCCTTCTGTATACCGGGCACTGTTCTAAGTTCCTAGGATACATCAGTAAAAAAAAAATAGACAAAAACCTTTATCCTTGCGGGGCTTAAATTCTACACAGGAAGACAAGAGGGATTGGAGTATATAGAGAGAGCATTGGGTTATAGTTCTAAATAGGGTGGTAAGGGTAAGATGTATGGAGAAGGGCAATATTTGAATAAGGACTTTAAATTGGTAAGGTAGTGAAGTACTTAGATAACTGGTAGAAAAGATTCCTACTTATTCCTCCTTGAAGTTATTCTGCAATATAGTAGGACCAAAGACAGTTACTTAAGATGCTTTTTGATTATTCTAGATGATCTAAAATACATACTCTCTGGGTAAATGCTTCTGGAAGTGCTTCTTTATCAATCTTTCTGTGCCCCAGGTATTGCAGTTCTACCTATTTGTCAGTGTTTAGCTTATATCTAAATAAAAGGAAGGGCCTTATAGATGCCAAGGAAATTTTTATTTTGAGGCTTTTCTTTCCGTTCATCAGTTTGCTCTTTGATAAAACAACACATTTCTCCTTTTTTTTTTTTTTTTTCCAAGTGGGAAGCCAGAGAATCCACTAAAAGTTAAGAATATTTCTGGATATTTATCCTCAATAGTTTCTTTGAACAAATTGTAATTCCCAAGAGGACATAATGCTTTAAGTATGCATTTCTTTTTTTTTTT